TGGCTGGGATCTGGGTGAAAAACCATGGCAACCCAATCATCAGACGTAATCACATCCACCATGGCAGAGACGTGGGTGTCTTTACATTTGACCACGGCATGGTAAGCTACAACTTACTGGTGTTTGGTTTGTGTTCAAAAAAGTGTTGTTGACTGTTCACTGACAGCTGTGCTGTGGTGTATCTGCACTGCCACAGTTGGATGCACTCATGTGTATACGTGAGTTTAAGCACCATCATTTTAGTACAGTTATACAGCGTAGAATGTAATGAAGCAGCAGTGTAGTCGTTGGATTGGTTACACCCGGATCTTATTTGTTCTCTAGCTGCTGCTCGTGGACTGAAGAGTATTTCGATAGGACATAGAGTAACTGTATTTCTCTGTTCATTTTCAGGGTTACTTTGAGAGCTGTAACATCCATAGGAACCGCATAGCCGGCTTTGAGGTGAAGGCGTACGCAAATCCAACGGTGGTTCGTTGTGAGATCCATCACGGTCAGACAGGGGGCATCTACGTGCACGAAAAGGGCCGCGGCCAGTTCATCGAAAACAAGATCTATGCAAATAACTTTGCAGGGGTGTGGATCACCTCCAACAGTGACCCCACAATAAGGTCAGTGTGGCCTGGCTGTCAAATACTAAATTGAAGGTATCATTTAAAAGGTACTTGTCCATGCACAGTTGTATCATGTCCTAAAACGTGCTGTTTTGTCCAAATACAGGGGCAATGCAATTTTTAATGGGAACCAAGGTGGCGTTTATATTTTTGGTGACGGCCGAGGCCTCATTGAAGGAAACGACATCTATGGTAACGCCCTGGCAGGAATCCAGATCAGGACAAACAGCTGCCCTATTGTCAGACACAACAAAATCCACGATGGCCAGCATGGCGGCATATATGTGGTAAATATTTACATGTGCAGCCAATGAACCCATAAAGCTGCACCAGTTATTTATTTATTTATTACAATAATGGTCTTACCATCTTTGAATGTTCTTCAGCTTTCTTACGCTATCATTGGGAAACATAGCAGTGATGTGTGGTGGTTTTGTATCACGCAGCATGAAAAGGGACAAGGCGTCATAGAGGAGAACGAGGTGTACAGCAACACGCTGGCAGGAGTGTGGGTGACAACAGGCAGTACGCCAGTACTGAGGAGGAACAGGATACACAGCGGGAAGCAGGTGAGAATAGTCCCATATACACCTTGATGATATGTATACTGTTATCTGATGTGATGTAGTTACACTGGCATATTTATGTAATTATTCTGATGTCATATATGTGATCACAAATTGCAATGTCAGACTGGTTTACTGTTCTATAATAAATAAATCAAGCATCAGTTGTGATCCTGTGCCGGTCACTCCGTCCTATAGAAAAAAAATCATAATGTGCAATTTAATACCAGGAATAAATGATAGCTAATATATTTTCATTTAATTTGCTTAGGTTGGGGTCTACTTCTACGACAATGGCCACGGTGTGCTGGAAGACAATGATATCTACAATCACATGTACTCTGGAGTTCAAATTAGGTTTGTGAAATATTCCAATTATTAACTATTCGCTTAAACGTCTCAATGACATTTGTCTCGTGTTTTGTGATAGTTTGAATAAAGTCAGTTGTTCTGATGTTAAGATGGTTATTTAGGAAAGGAAATGCATTTAGCATTATGGAAGCGGTGGTTAAACTGTCCCTTGTGTGTCTTTTTCTTTTCAACAGGACTGGCAGCAATCCCAAGATTAGGCGAAACAAGATCTGGGGAGGCCAGAATGGAGGCATTTTGGTTTACAACTCAGGTGAGAAGCAGAAAAGTATTTTCTGTTTCATTATTCTAGAGTTCAACACAACAGTTCTTGCCGTTAATAATGAAACATGAATGTGTTTTTCAGGCTTAGGCTTTATCGAGGACAATGAGATCTTTGACAATGCCATGGCAGGAGTGTGGATCAAGACGGACAGCAACCCCACTCTTCGGAGGAATAAGATCCATGATGGGAGAGACGGCGGCATCTGTATATTCAACGGAGGAAGAGGTAACTCATCAATTCATTGTGTCAAGGGGGGGGTACTTATCACAATTATTAAAGGGGGCGCCGTGGGGTTGTCTTGTAAACACTTGTTTACACTGCAGCATATCTTGGCATGCATCCAGCACCTGTAGATCTGTGGAATAGTCTAACAAAATAGGAACCCACGCATGGAAAAACAGCGCTATAAAACTCCACAGTGAACCTTTTAAGCCACAACAATGCAAGGAGCATTCAGTTGGCTAGAGACGGGTAGGTTTATAATCTAAATTGCAGCCTAAAATCGGTTGATAGATCGGTTCAGTCCAAATAAATTCAATTAGGCATCTTGTTGCTAAGCTCTTTGTACAGTTTTCATGTCAGTGTTTTGTGGGATTGAAAGTCTGTTTTTTGACTACAGGTCTGTTAGAGGAAAATGACATCTTCAGAAATGCCCAAGCAGGAGTCCTCATTAGCACCAACAGCCACCCTGTGCTGCGGAAGAACAGGATATTTGACGGCTTCGCTGCAGGTGGGTAATACCTGCGCTCATGCTGTACCCTGTCATTATTTAAACCTCCTTACAAATATGTCTGCGTAAACAGCAAGGCACATTAAGTCTTGCTAATTGGAGCTAGGAGCTATGTAATATGTGTGTTGTTTTTACCACTAGGTATTGAGATAACCAATCATGCCACAGCGACCCTAGAGGGCAATCAGATCTTCAACAATCGCTTTGGGGGACTGTTTCTTGCGTCTGGTGTCAACGTTACAATGAAAGGTACTCTCATGGTCACAAAGATGACTTCTTTCGTTTTTTTCCCCTCGACAAATCCTAAAGAAGCCTCTTAACAGATCAAAATGTTTTACGTTAGCCAATTTCTGCTGTCTTTCCTGCAGATAACAAAATCATGAACAATCAAGATGCCATTGAAAAGGCTGTGAGCAGAGGTCAGTGCCTGTACAAGATTTCAAGTTACACCAGCTACCCAATGCACGATTTTTACAGGTAATTTGTTTCTACTCGCTATCAAGGTGGCTAGAATATCCTCCGACTGCTGGGTCTGTTTCGTGATTAACGAAACCCAATTATGGTGTTCCCACAGGTGTCACACCTGTAACACAACAGACCGCAACGCCATCTGTGTGAACTGCATCAAGAAGTGTCACCAAGGACATGATGTGGAGTTCATCAGACACGATAGGTCAGTCTCAATGACCCACCTTACTAGAAACTAATGATGTGATGTAGGTATAAGCAGAGTGACCAAAATACACCAATAATTATTTCTCCTCTTGCCTCCACCTACAGATTTTTCTGTGACTGTGGTGCAGGGACGCTGTCAAATCCTTGCACGTTAGCTGGAGAGCCGACTCACGACACAGACACACTGTATGACTCGGCTCCTCCTATAGAGTCCAATACACTGCAGCACAACTGAGCTTGAGACCCGCGGTCCTTTCGGGCTCGACCAGTAATGGACAAAAGACACTTTAAGTTGTGCAGTGGAGGAAGTCCAAACTAAAATACAGATTCACTTTGACAGAACATATACAGTGACTTAAAAAAATTACAAAAAGGACTTGGACATGTATATGTGAAAAGGAAACATTTAGAAGAGAAAAAAAAAGTCTGATTATGGATGCCTCGCTTTTTTCTTTTTCTTCAATTATTTGACACAAAAAAAGATGCCAGTGGGAGAGAGCAGAAGAGCAGCTGACTCAGGGTTTGTGGGTGTTTGTTTGGTCAAGTAAGCGAGATTTGTGAGAGATGGACGAAATATCCGCCGAGGCTTGCCAGCTTTCACGACGTGAAGGAACGAGATACCCCAGTCATGTACAGATCCATCGGACAGCTGCTCAAGCCAGAAGAGGCACGACCTTTCTTATGAGGCAAAGGCCCCAAATACAACAATGCTTCCATCATTGGGCAACAGACGTGCTCGTATGATACGTACGGGAAAAACGACCTAGCACTTCAGCCCCCCCCCCCCCCCCCCCCCCGACAAATGTTGAGATTTGATTTTAATGCTTTTTGTGTAGTTTTGTATTTTCATGCAAAAATCTTACTGTACTTGAATGTCTTTTATTTTATTAAATGTGTACATTTTTTTTTTTTTTGGTTATTATATCCTAGAATTGCTGTAATTATACATGTCGCAGTATCTAACTTCTTTCTGTGAAAGAGATCCGAGAAAAGAGGAAAACACTAAACATTTTCTCCAGCAAGGTTGACTCATTTTACATTTGCAATACAGAAAAATAGCTGAAAATGTGCTTTCACAGGACTTGTATGGCTTTTTGTTTGGAATCGCATCAAATGTTTCTTTGAAACTGTTCAGTTCTGTTTTACGTAATCTATGCATATTTTCTTTTCTTATTAGCCTGTCACACTACCCAAATTACAGGAAGGACTAATATATTGGGCACAAAGTTGAAGCATTTTATTTTTTTTATCTAGGCTGCTATTGTAAAATATTTTTGGGGTGTAGCCAAATGAACCCCAGATACAGCCTCTTTGTTTACTAAATAAAAAAACCTCATTGCTATGATTTTCTAAAGGATATTTGGATTGTTGTACCGCCTGTGGTAAATTAACAGACTGTCACTGATTTATCTGTTAGGTAGATTATTTAATCTGTACATGCTGCCCTGAATAAATGTGGTTGTCTTCTCTTTGTTCTCAAGTGACAAGTCTTGTGAAAGCACAGCTAATTTTGGTGCGTTTCCCCTTGTTTGCCAATGTTGCTGGAGAATTTCAAAGGCTTTTACTCTACTGAAGCTGAGACAAGTATCTATATACAGCACTATATGGTTTCATTGCCCCCCTCCCTCCCCCATTCATGTGTACTGGTGATTGTGGGTTCTCATACAGACTGAAATGTATGCATGTATCATAACATCTAGACTTAATATATTGTGAAGTATTCAATAACCGTTATGTAGGCGCTAGCGTGAATTAAAAGGGTTTAATTTCCTAGATGAAACTTGTCATTTTTAAAAAATAAACTTTATTAGATCATTACAGTAGTGTTTTTTCAAGTGCTGAGAAAGCAGAAAGTCAGCAAGAATGAAGCTTATAAACTACAGGGTGTTCAGCATCTGAACAAGTGAAGCGAAGTGTGTGTTGCCCAGTGTGGCATCTTCAGCAAACTGGCAGAGCTTCCTGCAGGAGAAGAGTAGAGGGGATTTATTAATATGCATGCTTTGGATGTCTCTGCAGTAAAGTGAGGTGCAGTAGCTGCAGAACATTTTACCCCCAATACTAATACATACTTGAAGAGTCTGAGGCTGATGGTGCTCCTCTCAAACTCTCTGGCCTTCATGTGTCCTGATTGGATAACCTCCTCTGGCAGGCTGGCGAGTCGAGCAGCGTTGAAGCCGTAACTCTTCGGACAAGCACCGGAGATGAACTTGTAGAGGAATGTGATGGTCTCTTGACTTGGATCCTCACATTCATTCTCCACCATGCACGCCTGAAAGGGACACAACAGGGATATTACTAGATACACGTGACTCAGAAAAACACGATCAGACACGTTACATGAGAGGGGTGAAACTACAGAGCCTGCGGAAGCAAAAGGCCGTATTTATACATTTGTGCACATTTATAATCCACGTGCAATTAGCAAGTTGTCTTGTGGTAACTGCACAAAATTACTTAATTTCCTCAAATTATTGACATGTTATTGAAGTAATGGAACTTCAGTTACAGGTTGCAGCTACAGGAGCACCCACAATGATGGCACCTGGTAAGCAGCTGTGGCGTGTACATGTAACCACAAACTGCTGAATTTGTTCTCTAGCTAAAAACTTTATTGCCTTCACTGCATTTGTCCTTGTTCTCTACACGTACATTGTTAGAGCGCTGAACAGCTTTGGCCTCTACTGTAGGTGCATATCTGCTGCTTTGTAATGCAGTGCAAAACCAAATCGAATCCGTACTGTTTAATTTTAATGGCTTGATGTACCAACTCATTTGTTCAAGACAAATATATCCAATACCTGCCAGGCTCTGTATGAAACCAGGAAACATGACTTCAAAAGTTAATTTCCTGTACAAAAGGTTTCACTTACAGAAAATAGACTTTGAATCTGGCTCCACTACATAAAAGTAAAACTGATTGGGTGTAATAATCAAATACAAAAGAGATATATAGAGGTATTTCCCTAGATAATAATTTCAGTCACAGCTTTTTACATTTCCAAAATGTCTGCCCCCGCGACCCGATCCCGGATAAGCGGATGAAGATGGATGGAAGGAAAATGTCTGCCGTCATTTGCCTGTGCAGTATCTGGCATGTTTTGCATTGTTGTACTCACCATGTGGCCCAACCTCACAGTAGGGTTGTTGGCATAGTCCTCCACCAGGGAGTGGTAATGTGTAGAGAAGAGGGTGCGACAGCAGATCTTCTCAGCAAGCTCCTTCACGACAGCACTGGCAATTGCTGTGCCGTCATATGTGGCTGTGCCCCTTCCTGCAAACAGTTCACAGCTGAATGGTTGCGCCCCACAAACATAACACAACAAGAACAAAGCTGAGGAGACTGCCTGTCATGTTCACTGTTATTATGCGCACATACAGCATGTGGTGCGGTCCACACATGACTTACGTGAATGACTAATCATTCATGCAGCACACCTGGACGCACCACCGGTCACTGAACAGATCTCTGCCTCACTGCCACAAACAACTGTCTCCACCTGCTGGCATGTAAAGCCGTCTGCTCCCATTGCTGTTCCAAAGACTTCTATTCCTGTCATCATCACGCATAGACCAATAAACCGAAATGTGCACATCCCACACAGAAATATTAGTAATCTCTTAAGGATTAGGACAACTGCACCAACTCCAGCACCCAGAACAAACTCATTTAAAATGGCTCTCTTCATGGTAAGATCACTTTCAAGTAAGTTTATCTTAAATGATTTTATCTTGTCTGCAAATCTAGATTTTATGTTTTTAATTGAATCCTGGTTGCAAATGAATGACTATAGCCAGCTAGCTGAACTGTGTCCGCCTCAATATGATTGCTTTAGTCAACCGAGGGTCAGTGGTCGTGGTGGTGGGCTAGTGAGCGTGTATAGGAAAAATTTTAAATGTCATCAAGTACGCTGTGATGAATTTAACTCCTTTGAAGTTCTCACTCTTAAAGTTGGAGGGCTGCAACCTCATATTTGTTATAATTTATCGCCCCCCAAAACCACCTGGAGGATTTTTATCAGAACTTCCTGAATTTTTATCTACTCTGGTTTTAAATTATGACAGAATTGTTCTTTGTGGCGATTTTAATATTCATGTTGATGACCCGCACAATGTTAATGTAACTGACTTTTTAAATATGGCCACTTCTTTTAACTTCAAACAACATGTCAAAGGGCAAACACATAACCGTGGTCATACACTGGACTTTCTACCCTGGGTGTCAGCATTTCCTCTGTGTAATTAGTGGACATGACCATATCTGACCACAGATGTATTGTTTTTAGCTGCGATTCGCCTGTTACTCATGCCGCCTCACCAAGCTCTGTGTGTTCTCGCTTCTTTAATGAACAAAGTGTTTCAAAGTTTTGCGCATTCTTTCAGAGCCAAAGCCAACACCTGTCTGATTCCAACACCAACAATCTGGTCCATCACTTCAATCATATCTGCTTGTCGTCACTAAATATTACTGCTCCTCTAAAGGTTAGGCCTACGTCTAAAGCTAGTAAGCAACCCTGGATAAATGACAGCATTCGCAGCCTAAAAACAGAATGCAGGAAAGCAGAGCGCAGATGGAAAAAATCCAGTCTCCAAGTCCATTACCTCAGTCTGAAGGATTTATTAATTAACTACAATAACATGGTTAAGGATGCGAGAACACACTATTTTTTTTAACTCATTACTACACATAAACACAATCCCAGGTTTCTGTTTAAGACTGTGGATCAGCTGGCAAACCCAACCCCTCCTTGTGCGTCAGCTGGAAGTAATGATGACTGTGAATTGTTTTCATCTTATTTTACCAATAAGGTGGTGTCAATCAGAGCCTCTATTACCCCCGCGGCCTCTTACTCAGAGGTTCCTCACCAGCAACAAGAGAGTTTTAACCAGTTTTATCCCATCGACTTGTCTGAGCTTTTGAAAACAGTAACACAAATGAGAGTGTCCTCCAGCCCACTTGATGTAATACCTACAAAGTTTTTACTGAAAGTAATGGATTCTGTTGGGCCCCATTTGATCTCGGTTTTCAACAGCTCCCTGTCTACTGGTTGTGTCCCTGATTATTTTAAAACGGCTTGCGTGAACCCACTTTTAAAGAAACCTGGTTTAGATCCCTCCCTCCCACAAAATTTTAGACCAATTTCAAAACTGCCTTTTATTGCAAAGATTCTAAAAAGAATTGTGTCCAAACAGCTGCTCACTGTACTGGAAAATAACAAATTATTTGAAAAGTTTCAGTCTGGTTTTAGGAAGTACCACAGCACTGAGACTGCCCTGCTTAAAGTCACCAATGACCTTTTAATGTCTGCTGATGAAGGCATGTGCTCAGTCCTTGTACTCCTGGACCTTAGCGCTGCTTTTGACACCATTGAGGCACTGAGGCACTGGGTGGGGATCTCTGGTACTGCCCTAGAATGGTTTTCATCCTACCTGTCAAATAGGAAGTTTTGCGTGTCTGTAAACAACTATGTTTCTTCGTTCTGTCCAGTTAAATATGGTGTGCCTCAGGGGTCGGTCTTAGGACCCATGTTGTTTTCCTTGTATCTGCTTCCCCTTAGACATATTATCCATAAACATGGCATTTCTTTTCATATTTATGCTGATGACACACAAATATACTTGCCCGTCAGATCCACAGATCCTGGAATGCTGAGTTCACTTAACAATTGCCTTTGTGAAGTTAAAAAATGGATGTCAAATAATTTCCTCCAGCTGAACTCAGACAAAACAGAAATCCTGGTCATCGGGTCTCAGCAGATGGCAAATCAAATAGTGCCTTCTGCTGGTTCGCTAGTAAATCACATTATGCCTGTGACAAAGAACCTTGGTGTTTGGTTTGATAGTAGTTTAAATTTCGATCAGCACACCACAAAGCTTGTTCAATCATGTTGTTAACAACTTAGAAATATATAAAAAATTCGATCTATGTTAACTTTTAAGGACACCGAGACCATTTTACATGCCTTCATCTCATCACGCCTGGATTATTGCAACAGCCTTTTCACCTGTTTAACCCAAAAATTTATTGATCGACTCCAGACTGTCCAAGAACTCAGCTGCCAGGCTTTTAACCAGAACAAAGAAATATGACCACATTACTCCTATTTTAGCTTCATTACACTGGCTCCCAGTATGTTTTAGAATTGACTTTAAAATTCTATTGATCACTTTTAAAGCTCTTCATGGCCTCTCGCCTTGTTATATTTCTGACCTTTTAGTCCCATACACACCAGCACGCACCTTGAGATCCTCGGGCAGAGGTCTGTTGTCTGTTCCAGAGTCTCAACTGAAAACTAAAGGGGACAGAGCGTTTGCTGTCAGGGCCCTGAGGCTCTGGAACAGCCTGCCCGAGGAAATCAGGTCGGCTGAGTCAGTGAACTCCTTTAAGTCCCTTCTTAAAACATACTTTTATAGGAGAACCTTTCCCGATCTTATTTGACTTTATTTAATCGTATTTTACTAATTTTATATTTATCTGTATTTTAGTCTTTTCAATGTTTTCATGCTTTTATCTTGTATTGTTTTTTGTATTATTGTCTCTTGGGTATTATTGTCTTTACACTTGTTAAAGCACTTTGTAACTTGTTTTTGAAAAGTGCTCTACAAATAAGGATTATTATTATTATTATTATGATGATGAATAAGCTACAAAGACTTACCTAATTCATCCAGGAGCACAACTGAGTGCTTAGTGGCATGGTGAAGGATGCTGGCAGTCTCACTTAGCTCCACAAAGAAGGTACTCTCTCCTAAAGAAGACATAGAAAATGCAAGCTTAGCCCATGAGGTGGATGCTTAAGACATTGCCCCATATGTGTTACAGGTGCTCATGATTTTACCAGCCATAATACGATCCGAGGCTCCCAGCCGAGTGAAAACCCTGTCAACCGGTGTGAAACGTAGGCTCTCGGCAGGAACATAGCAACCCAGCTGAGCTAGCATGATCACAAGTCCGCACTGTACAAAAAGAGCAGCAGAGTATCTCATACGGGCCAACAGAGACTTCAAATAGATGTACACTGTTCATGTGGATGTGAAATTCAAATTATTTGCAGTTCATGGTTTTGCAGTTTTATACACATAAAGAAAACAATAAAATATATGTTGGATCTCTATATATCCATTAAGAATCACCAACCTGTCTCATGAGAGTAGACTTTCCACCCATGTTTGGCCCTGTGACGAGGACACAAGAAGCATGACCGTTGTTTTCCTCATCATTTTCACCGCTACCAGGGCAGCCAATGTAGATGTCATTAGGGATGAAATCGTCCCCAAAAAAGGTCTTGGTGACACAAGGGTGGCGGGATCCAGTGAGGTCAAGGAAGGGCGCTACCTGGTCGTCGCACTCAGGGAGCACCACCTCTGGCCTGGTCATCGGCCCGTCTCCGCCCTGACTGTAGCGTGACAAAGCTAGCAGCACATCTGAAAACAAGTGACAAAACAGTAATAAGAGTAAAGAGGTATGCAGGAAGCACTGAACCAGTTACCCTTTAAAACTACAAAAAAAAAATAAAACACATTCGCTTTCTTAGTGTTTTGTGGAATGATTTTGCAGCTCAGTTCTGTTAAAACTTAACTAAAATAAAACCAAACACTGGCAGTGAGATGGTACAGTGGTGGAAAAACACATTATAAGCACATTATGTTACTGCAACAGAGATCAGTAATAAACAATGCAATTACAACTCCCTCTGTAAGGCACAAACACCAGTGAACATTGAAAAACAAACCAATGTGTGTCAAGTTTAAATGGAATAGTTACTCAATGACAGAACAATTTCTAACAAGCACTCAGACTGTTGCACCATCATCTAATACACATATAGATGTCTATCACTAACATCTGCAGGAAATGGATTCAGAGCTCCTGCAATGCAAACTTGTTTTCAAAAGCCCAAAAAGAGTTTTTTCCCCCAGAAACATGAAAGGCAATTGCATTACGAGGACCAAATAAACACACGTGCTTTGTTCTGCAGTAATTTCAATGTATCACTTGACAAATTTGGTTGATGCATGCTGTGAATAATAATGCTGATTACCAAGAAAAAAAGAATGTAATTACCAAGCACTGCCATGCACTCCACACCAGTCTTCCAGTCTCTGTAGTTCTTGTCAAAGTTGTAGAAAAGCCTCCTCATGCAGTCTTTCAGGGCAGCATCTCTCTTCTCCTCAAATCCTTGCAGCTCTGAGAACAGCCGTTCACTCTCCTTTGTCACATAACGCTTCCAGCCTTTCTTTGTAGATTTCACCTCATACTCCTCAGGGATATTCCTCTCTGAGACGCTGTCAGGCACCTCAATCTGGTAGCGGTTTCGCCCAGTTCCCCAGAAAGACATGTTTTTACAGCCAAGTCTCTTCTTCTGCCTGTCCAAGTAATCCTGCAGCTCTCGCTCACAGTTCTTGACTCCGATCAGAGCCTGGTCATACTCTGGGTCAAAGCCAGCTTTAGGGGTAATGACACCAGTAGTGCGGGCTTTCTGGTGGTCGAAGGCTGTCTCCCAGCGCCTGAGTTCAGCGGACAGATCAGGAAAGAGCCCACTTTTCAGAGTGACAACTTGACGGAGCAATGTGGATTGGAATTCGCCTGAAACTGGAGCGAGGACAGAAATGATCTCCTGCATAGTTTTGAAACCTTCCAGCGCTGAGAGGAAGTCTGCTATCTTGCGCTTGCTGTAGGTGACCTCCTCATACAGAACAGCTCTGGTGTCAGGGTGATCCTGGCCTTTTAGAGGAGTGCCAATGCTGTGGATTTTACTCAGAAGACGCTCTAAATCTGGGAGCTTCTTCAGCAGGTCTGAAACCTCAGTGGCCTGGGCCTGAGCTCCCATCAGGTCTTCTACTGCATCCAGTCTGTCCTTGATGGATGTGGGGTTACACAGAGGAGCACAGAGCCACTGTTTCAGCAGCCTCTTGCCAAACGGGGTAGAGCAGGTGTCCAAACGCTCCAGCAGCGTCCCTTCTGTTCCTCCCGATCCATTCTGAAAGATTTCCAAGTTTGCCAGAGTCACTCCATCAAGAACCATCCGCTGACGAGTCTGGGCAAAGAAACTGGCAGTTCCAGCAGCTTTCTCCATCTCAACATCAACAGGGACATATTCTTCAAAGTTGGCCATGGAGAGTAGCTCTTTGTCTACCAGACATTTCTTCAGGTAGAAAATGCTTCCGCCCAGTGCTGACAGTGCCAGTTCATAGCCATCTTTAGGAGTAAGGCACAGAGAATCACTCTCAGAGGTCATCTCTTTAAGAAGAGCAGGAAGAAAATTGCTCCCTGTCCCCTGATCCTTCCCAGCACTGTCTTTAAAGTAATCTTCTTCTGAAAGGGTTTTAAGTGTTTTCTGAGCATCCCAGAACTGAGTGCCGGCATTAAGTCCTTCCTGCAAAGCAGAGGACAGGGAGGCCTTGAGTATTTTGCGTGTTTCAACGGATGGGTTCCCCTTTTCAAAGAGCACCTCAGCAGGGGCAAAGTGTGCCATCAGAGTGCGCAGACGTGAGCAGTGACGGTCGTCTGGAAACTGACCAATGTGGAAATAACCCACAGAGGTATCTACAAAGCAGACTCCGTATGTGCGGCAACACCCAGAGCTTTCCTCTTCAGCCTTTTCCTTCAAACTCAACAGGAACTTGCTCTGACTCTCAGAGGGAGCTCCATCCAACACACTGTAGGTTTGGGTACCACGTGTGATGATCCGGCACACCTCTCTTTTCACTACGCGGTCAAACTTTGTGGGCTTGGCCATGGTCTTACAGCGTGCTTCCATCATCTCTGGGGTCTCCGTCTGCTCCACACGAGCCACCTTGTAGCCTTTCTGTACAAGTACATCTGAGAAACGTGCAAAGCCGATCTCTGGAAAGCCTGAGTGTGCCCAGGCTCCCTTCATGAAAGTTAGCCCTAGCTCGTTGACACCGACCACGGCATCCATGTGGTAGAGCTCATAGAACTTCCCCACCTTGTAGAAAATCACTGTATCAAACATATTGGATTTGAGCTGCCACCACCGACGCATACCAGGTGTCACTCTGTTTAGAAAGTCTTCTGGCACATACAGGGTGGTAGGATCGTAGTCATCTTCCGTCTGTCGCCGCCTTTTGCTGTCTTTCCTCCTTCCATCCTGCAACCACTCCAGCTTCTCGTGGTCCCAAACTGTGGCGCCTCCACTGGCGCCTGATCCGTTTGCCTGGCTCTCAAAGTTGTCAGGGGCAGAGAAGGCTGACAAACGAGACTTGGTGTCAGCTGCAACAGCAGCTGCTGGAGCTCGTTTTGGTGCTGCCAAAGACGGGGTAATAGGCATCTTGGCCTTTGTAGGAACAGACTTTTCTGCGGGACGTTTGCGCTTTACGGGCTTGATGGGGCTTTCTGCTTCAGACTCTTGTGTGCTCTCCGCTTCCTCCTCTTCACTGCTCACTGTCCCTTCTTCCTCCTCATCCTCACTGCTGGATGCAGTGTGTTCTGGTTTGAATTCCTCATCTGATCCATCACTGTCTGAGGCGACAATTATGCGACGGCGCTTGGCCTTATTTCCCTTTTCTGTTGAAGCACGGGATGAACGTCGACTGACCTTGGATGACTTCACTTCCTTATTTTTCTGTTCAGCCTCATCACTGACCTCTTCATCAGTCACTGTTGAATTGTCAAGCTGAAAAAAACTCCAACTAATTAGATATCACAAACACACGCTGCATTACTTTTACTGATGAAAAAGTAGCATTACAATAACATTGTTATTAATTATAGTAAAATGCAGCCTTTTATATCCATATTGTCAACATAGTAATCAAATAAAATCATGTCACCTCCATTTCTTCATCTTCATCCTCTTCATCATCAGACGGATCCATACAGAGAGGCATCTTCAATCTTTTATCAGAGCTATCAAACATAACGGCATCAGCGAGCTCCATTGCATGACGGATTACAGGTTTCCCGCTGAAGAACACCCCTCCCGTTTTAGCATCACTGCTGTCAGAGCCTGGAAAACAGTAAAGATGAGATAACTCATCATTCAATTATAGCAACTGTCTTTGACTGTCTATTGGGAGGACAAAGTAGATCATGGCCACTGCTTTAAGTGTTTTGTTATCATTAATTAAGGGACTAATTGCAGCCCACCTTGGTACTCCCGGACATATTTGGTGCTGACCCATCCTCTAGTAGGGGGTTCATCAAAGAAATGGACATGTATGCGTTGGTCCCGACCACGCCCCCTCATCTGCTGTCCAGTCAGAGGTTGGGGCACCACCATGCATGGCCACCAGGGGTGTCCCTCCAGCTTTGCCCACACAAGAGCACCAGCATTTAATGTGCATGTGGAGCTGTTGAAGGAAGTAAAACAACAAAGACATATTGAAGTCATGCAGTATATTGACCAGGACCATCTCGTAACAGCTCCTATGATTGGTATTCCTCTAAATACTCCTCAAACTACTGCTGCTAGTTACTGACAACTAAATCAGATTCTGTCAAATTGACATACAGCTGCAGCTCTGAAAAGCAGTCCAACATTTTGTGTTTTTATCAGTTAACTAGCAAACTGGACCACATCTACAATTAAGTTAACCAACATATGTTTTCTTTTCTACTTACTGACTAAACTGACTTATAACTAACGAAGGTTTATGCATAGAAATGTACACAGGCATAAATTCTTTTTTAAAAATTAATATTACACAACATTAATTTCAAGGCGTTAATCAAGACTCCTAAATTTAACATAATTTAAAAACCACTACAATTCATTATGGCTTTTTGGAAACTTGGAAGTGTAAACTGAGCTCACCATCAAAGTTGTAGTTTTATGTCATTTTTGTTAATAATTGTGTATTTAGTTAATTTTGTTGTTCGATACAATCAATATCCGCATTGATTGTGTTGATGTTACCGCCACACCTGGGACTGCATCACTGTTATGTTTACATGAAGGATGACATTAACATTACGGAATTTGTGTCATTGTTGTTGGAAAATTGCACGCATGATGAGCTCACTAGGTCAATACAACAACTGCATCTGCTCACGTGGCTCCAACTTCCACATTGTCTCTAAACTATGCCAAGTGACAGCCATTACTAGATTTCACATATTATCCCTGTAGTCCACTTTGCTAAATTAGCATTAGCTATAATTTGACCAAGAGAACCCCTTATCCAGCATCTGGTCTGCAACCAAGTCATCTGTGATCTTGAGGAATATTCAAGCATAATCGAAAAGCAATGACGTACTTCACATTTTAACAATAAATGAAAACGAAAGACGTCGTAGCAATATAACCACGAGGTTTTCATGAGTCGATTAAACACCCAAAAGCATGGAATTGCATGTTTTTGGGGCCTAGCTGCAGACAATTTTCAGCAGAGTGAAAAAACCTGTGAAAAACGTGCCTCCAGAAATTACACCGCTCCCCACGTTATCACGGCTAACTCACCGTTCTTTGGTTGTTGAGGCCTTGTCGCCAAAGAGCTTGTTGAATCCCCCCTTCGCAGGCTTGGAGTTACTTTTCGGTTTAACTTTGTTGGTCTTGGCTGGTTGTTGTTGCGGTGTCTGTTTAGCCTGCTCTTTCGGAGAGGAGTTGGACTTCTCTATGGAGGACGGCAGATCTGCCTCAGCCGGAGAAGGACTCGGCTTCGGCTTCGAGACCGGCGGCGGGGACTTGGTAAAAAAATTGAAAAGGGAGCTTTGCTTCGCCATTTTTGAGAGTTAAAAGGCTGTTTTCACTGTAATGTTTAGATAATCCTAACGAAAATGTCTTGAGCCTCCCTGCACCACCTAGCACCCAGCTAGACAGCCTCACGGCGCGAGAGCGTCCCGTTCGCGGGAAAGGCGCTGACGAGGTGTTGTGGGCGTGGACACGAGCCTCTTCCAATCACTAGCGAGTACACGGTGAAATGGAGGTCACGTGGTGTCAACATGACTTCCTTTTTGGCGCTCGGGAACTCTTTTTTCCCCCTCAACTTTATTTCCAATCATACAGTCTATGTTTCCAAAACAGAGGTACACAAAAAACACCGTAAGCCTACCTGCTCATGCTGCTCATATTAACACTCAGCACTGTCACTCTTCTCAGAGGTAAAAACAGAAACACACATATTTGAAACACTCAGTAGCTACTTAAGATCCTGTTGTAATGTTTGCGTTTGACAGATGAGGCAATAAGCAGCACACAGTCCATTCAGAAAGACTGTATGGATCTTGGTCTACTTCTAGGCCCCTGATCAGAGAAAAGAAAGTGAGGGAGTCACATCCATGCTAAAACAAGAAGACAAACAAACAGAGAGTCATTATGTAGAAGGGTATGAGTGGAAAATATGGCTACATACAGAGGTGGCAGGGTTTCTCAACCTTTTCTAACTAGTGACCAGGTTTTTAGGACACCTGTTGTTTTAAATGCTGCTGTATTGAAATGGAAACAGTAACCCCTTTGGCATCCACTTTATAGTGTTTATGTCTATTAAAGTAAGAAGCAACAAAAATACAGTATATATTTATATACAGTAAAAAGCTCAGTGGTGTTCATAAAAGAAAGATAAAACAGGACCTGATAGGCTATTCACACATTTTCTTATTAACTAAAATGCCTTTTAATGGGTTATGGGTAGGAGCTTAAATATTAAAAGTGTTATTTAGGAGTTCATAAAAATGTCCCTTCAATTCAAAGGTGATCAAAGGTGTAAGTATAAGGGATAGAGGAAAATTGATGATGAAGGAAATTAGTGTTGTCTCTGTGCAGATTAATGTTATAGTTGCAAAATTCTGCCACTGTACAACATTTCAAGTTAGTGTAACTTGAAAATGCAAGTTCACCTGCTGCCTTGAAAATTAACAAGTTAACTCAACTTAAAGACTGCCTTTGTTTCAACTCACAAATTAAAGTTCTTAAAGCTGATGTTACTACAGTGTTCTAGTTGTCTCATCATTGTTTTTTTTTTAGTGTTTTTTCAAACTTTTTTCAACTTCATACTCTGAGTTAAAACAAACAAATATTTTACTTTCCTTAATGAGTTTAACCTACATACATTTCTGCTCACAGTTTTAATTTAAAACAAACTTAACCACATTTATACTTCTTTATGTTTCATGGATTTAAATTCCAAATTTGTTTCATTTTACATGCATAAGTCATTGTCAGATATTCCCTCCAACAGTGACACTAGTCCTTTCTTGTTTACCACAAAAGTGTCAATACATTAGTTGGAATTTGAATAGGCCTCATTGAATTATCTATTGTAGTATTAGTTGATTGTGTACATGCTTCAACTTTGCCATAGTTTAAAAAAAAAAGTTTCTCTCAAGTTCAATATATTTATTCTCTTGGTCCCATTCTCATGCTTTTACACAACAAGTAAGCGGACATAACTAAATGGGGCTGTAATGATTTCCACTTTGAATATCCATTGGTTTATGGGGCATTATTATCTGTAGTAGTCATTTACCACCAGCAGGGTGCAGCAGCATACTGGAAGCTTCATGAGCAATAGCCTCACAAGTTAATGTACAATTCAAATACAATTACAAATACTCAACTACTTTTCATTTGCAATATTGCTACATCTAGTATATGACAAAAAATTGAGCCATAAGCTTTCATCACCTTGTTACCTTAGTGTTTACAATAATAATAATAATAGCTCATTAATGTTGATTTTGTGGTGTTTTGCTTAACATAAAACAACAATAGGAGCAGTATGCAAGATTGAGTCTGCATTGCAAATATGCAGCGGCCTTGTTTAGCAGAGATCTTCAGCTGACATATTCAAAGGTTACAAGGTTAATTTTTTTTGTGTAATGAAATGCAAGTTGTAGTTCTCTTTTTGCTACTCATGCAAACAAATACATATATACAAAGCAATAAGTATATACAGTAAATGGTGATTAATAAGAAATGAAAAAAATGAACTATTTTCATGATGGACTGCTGAATTAAGGAGTCTCACAGCTTGAGGGAAAAAGCTGTTCTTAACTCTGGTGGTAGGACTGTGGTAATTCGGTATTGTTAGCCGGACGGCAGTAGGGCAAATAGTCTGTGGCTGGGGTGTGTATTGTCTTTTAGTATCCTTTTCTAACTGGTAATGTTCTTCCCAGTTGTGATGTACAAAAACTTAAAATGCCTAATTTATGTTACTGTTGCGATACCAAGTCTAGAGTAAATACAGCCAGAAGAGGGTGGCCTTACATATTCAAAACAACCAAACATCCACCCACACACGACTTTTTGGCATATGTTGTGTGGGTGATAGAAAGCATCTAATTAAGACAGCATTATGAAACCTTACAAAGTAGTTGTTGTGGGGAACTGTTTTAATTCAGCAAGACTAAATTTTCCATCACTAATCAATGAATAAACATGAACTAAGTTACCATGCCATCATTAAGATTTAAAATGTATGGATATGAGACAAACACATATGGGTAGTGTCAAATACTGTACATCATACTGTATAATATTTATTAAAAGATAACAATATTAACAGAAAATCTTTTAGCAGAAAGAATGTAGTTAGTTATGTGTGAAGTACATCTATAATTAACTCACCGTCTCTTTCCTTAGTAACTTTCAGCTGCTCTAAGAAAGCAGCAGGCTGTTAAAGCGAAGCTAAGAAGCCTAAACCACTCAGAACACCTTAGCAACAACATAGCAACACATCTTGTACCAACTATCTATCAAAACCCTAGAAACCACCACAAACACATCAGCAACCAATTAGTTTGTTCACAAACATTAAAAGTACAATCATAAGAAATACTGCAGATTTGTGAAGAACGACACCCTGGTAAGCCATCTGAAGCTTGTATATAGGGGCCCAGGAACTAAGCAAATAGTAGACATGTATTTGAAGTACTAACATATTGCCTTGGTAAATACTACAAATAAATACACAGCACATGCAATCTACAGGATAATTTCTAACCTACATACAGAAAACCCTAAGAGCTAAACTACCCTAATCCTAACTAGGATTAGCATAGCATTATTTTAATAAAATACAATAAATACAAACATTTGGCAAATGGAAATAACAGTACAATTTAAACGTATTTCAGAATGAAAAGACTAATTTAAAAACTAGTTTAGTCCCCGTCCGTTTAGGGAATTCAAGCTTAAATTTGAATTTAAGTAGTAGCTTCTGTCTTAAGCTCTTTTTGAAAGCTGACACAGACAAATACATTTTTTATAGTATAATCAATTTCATTCCATACCTGTTGACCTCTGCAAACCACCCTAAAGCTCGTACATTTAAGTTTACGGTTTTTAATCATATAAGATGCTTTTTCCTCATCTTATATTTATACAAGGTGGAGTAAAACGGAATAAGGTCACAGTGTCTGTCATTAAGCACATGTAGCACATTATACATTACACAGGTGTATTACATTCTGTAAGAAGACTGTAGCTGTGGGAGATCGGTGGGAGCATTTATCTTGGACCATGAAATGACACGTATAACTTTCTTCTGTAAAAACTGTTGTTTTACCAGGTACCATATGACATTACAATAAGAGGTGAGGCTCAACTAAAGACTTGTGTAAAGCTTTGAGTGCTCTGAATTGAAGAAAAAGCTTCAATCTGAAAAATAAGGCAACATATTTGGACATTTCTTTCGTCAGTTCATCAATATGAACCTTAAGGTTTAAGAACTGATCAATGTTTACCCCCAGGAATTTAGTGGACTTCACTCTCTCATTGACTCAACCATTTATTTTGATTTCTATTGGAACGGAAGATCATGTAATTTGTTTGTTTATATTTAAAGATAATTTATTGCATTTAATCCACGGATCCATTTTAGTCATTTCCTCATTTAGATTATGTTATAAAAGATTTTGATTTTTTTGAGATAAAAATAAATCTGTATCATCTGCAAATAATACGACCTGGCACCTACATTTTCAGAGGTAAGGTGCCACACTTGGTGCTAGCTAAGGTGTTGCTCATTATTATTTAGGCATTGCTTGCTAGTTGCTACGAGGCAGGTGCAGGTTGGTTGCTAGATCGAAGAGGTAGTAATATTAGTAGATTAGTATAGGCAGCAGAAGTATTAGTATAGTTTCAAAGGGCTGTCATCAAGGAGAAAGCTGTGTCTGTGGGAAATTAGCCCTAAAAGCACTTATTCATTCCTCTATGTGACCAAAGAGGACAAAGAATAAGAATATTATTCATGCAAGGTAGTAATAAAGGCCTGTAGTAATCATTTGTTAGGGAAAAACTTGTTTAAAAAAATTCAACAGCAAACGGAAATACATTCAAATCTCTTTTAGGACATATTATTGCAAAAGAAAAGACTAAACGAAAAAGCACTGACACATATGCAGTCATCTGCATTCTTGTGTCCTTGTCTTTGCACAAGGTGTTTTCCTTTTCTTGCTTTGCACGTGAATCCTCTTTCCTGTGACACCTGCAGCATTCACGGTCCATAGTCCACAGTGGTGGTTTGCCCAGCAGGCTGATGTAACAGCATAGAGCAGGCAGGGTTAACATGTTGTGTTCCTGTTTGAGTCAGAGTTAAACTGTGTTTAATAATGTCAAGTGTTCCCTCACCTCTCACCATTTATAGAATATTACCCTGAGAGCAGTACAAGCCAGAGAGCAATGTACACCAGCCTGTGTAAGGCTCATAAAGTATTTATATTCCAAGCACAGAAGTTCTCTTAATATACTCCTTATGGCAGACATTTTCACAAGCATATGCTTGTTTGAGTTGTGTCAAGTGCTTTATGTAATAAAGTGGGCAATAAGTCTAAGGTGCAGCCTTGGATAACATTATAAATTTTATCTGGCTCTGCCATCACTGTTGTGGCCTTCACCTGCTCCAG